ATAGGAGACTCTCTCTCTCCTCTAGGGGGAGATGGTCTATTATGATTGTTTCTTTTATTAAAAAAAAAAATTGATTTAGGGTACCAATATAAAATATAAGAATGCAAATGGGATAAAATAACGCCGCTGCAACTTATATGTGTCTCTTAATATTACAGTGAAAAATTCCTAAAAAATGAATTGAATAAAATGGTTACATAAATCATTATCTGCATACCTTTTTTTTTTTTTTTTTTGAGAAGCATCATTATCTGCATGCTAAGGAGATTATATCAATGTTTAATGTTGCCATATTGAATTAGGTCAGCAAGGGGTTCACGGCTCTCTTTTTAATTATAGAAATCATTATTAGTAGATAAAGATATCAATTTTATTATTTTTTTATTTAAAAACATAAATTTTTTTAGTTATTAAATAAAGTTATCAACTTTTAATATTTTTCTAAACATATAATTTTACCCTGAAAATCATACAAAAACACTGTTAAGAAGTGAATTGCATTTGTCATGGAAGAGGGATGGCCACCTACCGTTCTAGCTCGATGTGAAAGCAACAAGTAGTACAAACTTTACCACCATCCAAACAGTGCTCATTTTTTACAACCAATGGTTAATGCAAATTAGCTGATCAAACAAAAGACTAGCAGAGAAAAAAAAGGGAGCCTAATGAGATATTAAAACCCCAGATATCTTCAAGTCTATACCTGATACAGAGGACTATATAGAAGAAAGATCTTCATATATGGTCTTGATACCAGGCCTCTCAGAAAGGGACCGTACACAACGTAAAGCTATTCCAAGGACCTCCTTCATTCCCTTTTCAGTTGCTGGATTCTCTATTCCTTGCACCAACACAGGATCAAAGCAATCTGATCCGCGGCCTTCTACTGACCTCAACCGCACCCAATCTGTCAAATCTATGCCTTCCTCCTCGCCTGGAATAACATCACCAGCACATTTGCCAGTTAGAAGCTCCAAGAGAATTACCCCGAATGCATAAACGTCTGACTTGAAGGAAAGTATTGGTTTCTTGGAATTAGCCAGCTCTGGTGCACGATAGCCTAGCAGCCCAGCATCAAGAATTTGTTCCATGATGCCAGCCTGGGTCATCAGGCGATGGAGGCAGTAATCAGCAACACGTGCATTGAGGTCAGGGCCATCTAATAGTATATTTGTTGCTTTAAGGTTACCGTGTGGAATAGCACGGTCAAAATGGAGATAGTTCAGGCCACGTGCAACATCGACTGCTATTTTCAGTCTCTGTGCCCAGGATAAGGGCGGGCCTTTCCTTCCTGGTCGATCTGAAAATAAGGTTGTTTCGTTAGTGATGAACATGAAAGCTAGCAAAACATACATAAATCAAGTACACAATGTTAAAAGGAATATCTTATTTAGACGTGTGATGATGATTAAATGATGTGTCAATATACAGATGTAGTTTGCAAAGAGTTTGAATAGAAAGAGACTTTTTGTTATTGGCACACAATAAGAGAACACCAAGAAATGCAAGAATTTTTGAAAGAAATTAATATCAGTTAACTTATGAACACAAGCAATTAAACAAATTCTCTGGAGAAAGCCCATTGTAACTGTTATATTGGTGATATACAAGGCAACCTCTGAGCTTTTTGCCCATGTCAAAGTTTAACCAATAATCCAAGTTGTTAAATACTTTTTTACTACAAGAAAAGATGAAAAGACAGCATAACTTCTTAAGATGAGCTCATCCCTCAATGTGTACTTCTCTAACATGGCTTTCAATAATACCCATTTCCATTGACAGACCATAAAACAAATTACCTTTATTCTGCAGAAGGTTTCAGCTAAGATCTACACGTTGATTGGGGTATGACCCAAGAGAATGCCAAAGACTTACTATATTAAAGAAGAATGATATACCAAAGAAAAAAATTGTTAAAGAACAAGCCAAGCATTTCACAGGCACCTTCATTGCAGTTATAACAAAGCTATTCCCACCTTTTCCAATTTTGGAATACATGTGCAGGTTGCACACACAGACAGTCTCTATTAGTTTATCAGTTCTCTGAACGTGTAAGAAAATAAAAATAAGATGTTGAAGAGTTAGGAGGAAAAATTGTTACCATAAAGAAAGCTCGCAAGACTTCCTGGTGAAATGTAATCTGAAAGAATCAGCTTCTCATGTTGGGTGGGACCCCAATAGTACCCTCTCAACCCAACTACATTAGGATGTCTGATGTTTGCAAACTTCTTAGCTTCCTTAGAAAAGTCCTTTCTTTGTTTTGCCACCCCTTCTCTCAACCACTTCACAGTCAAGAAAACCCCATTGTCCAATGTTGCCCTGTATGAAGTCCCATGACTGCTTCTCCCTAGCACTTCTGCTGGAGCCCTTGAGAGCTCCTCAGGTGTCAATGTCATTGTATCATCAAGAAAATGTAGCTCACCGACCAATCTATCTGGTGACCTTACATCCAGCCTTGCAAGATGCTCAGTAGTAAATGAATCACCAGACTCAGGTGACCAAGACACATGGCTCGTCTTTGATGGAGAGTAGCCAGTTGCTGTGGGCACTTTCTCAGCAGGACTGATAATCTCAGATGATGATCCTTTCCGTGTAGCCACAAGATCCTCAGCTGAAACAACCAAAGGACCACCACCCCCAGCCACACCAATACCTGAGGGGTTTGTTTGAGCTTGCTTGGGCATCTCTTTGCCTATAACATGCTCTGGTGGAGTTCTTGATATCCGGATATAGTGAATGAATATAGCAAGCAGGATAAGAATGATCAATGCAATCACACATGACACTATAATTACCACTTTGACAAGGGTGTTCATTGGTTTCCGCCCAGAACTTTCAGCAGGGGAACTGTTTGACCCAGGGGGACCACTAGGAAAATGTAACTTGGCATTTCCAGGGTAGAAAGATGAACTAGGGAACTTCCTCAGATTTTCTGGGACAACCCCAGAAAGATCATTATAGGAAACATTAAAGCTCTGAATGCTGTTAGGCAAGTTATTAGGCAAGGAGCCACTAAAGTGATTCTGGGATATATCCAATGAGCTTAGCGAGCTCAATTCAACCATGGAAGTTGGCAAAGAACCAGATAAATTGTTCACCGCAAGATTGAGTACTTGAATTCCAGTTGATGACCCAAATTGATCCGGAAAATATCCATTAAGCTGGTTATGAGAGAGATCAAGAACATGAAGGGTGGATTGAGTGGAAGGAGAAAACTTAAGAGCCCCAGTAAGTAAATTGTTCTCAAGGTGAAGTTCTTCCAAAGTGGGCAACGATAAAAGGTCAGTAAAGAGAGGTCCATCTAACTGGTTTGAACTGAGATCAAGGACTCTAAGCTTTGGATACTGCATTATGACCTTTGGAAGAGAGCTACTAAGGGAATTATGGGAAAGGTTGAGATGATTTAAGCGTAAAAATTGCGGGGTTACCTCAGGAATAGGACCTGTCAGCAGATTCTGGCTGAGATCAAGATGTTCAATATCCCCCCATTTCACCATCCTGGTTAGGTTTCCTTTTAGCTGATTATTTGATAGATCAAGTATGGCACAACTTCCAGTAAGCAAAGGCAGTTCTCCTGTGAGCTGATTTGAAGAAAGATTAAGGACATGAAGAGTCGTAGACATTACCATGCTAATTGGCCCTGAAAGAAATACCAAGTAGCATGAGGCATATGGAAAACAGGTGAAGCAGGACGAAGTCACTAAGCTCAAATTGAAAGTTTACAGAAGTTCAAATGTATTAAATATGGATTTCAATGCAAACTGAAGTGACAATGACAATGATAAAAAGAGTTACCTGAGAGATTGTTCCCACTCAAATCCAGTTCAGTTAAAACCAAGGAATCTCCTTTCAATAGGTCATTGGGAATGGAGCCCGAAAATCTGTTGTTGTTGAGCTTGAGAACCTGAAGGTCATACACAAAGTTGAAACCAGGCAATTCTCCAGACAGCTGATTGTAGCTTAGATCCAACACCTTCAAATTTTCAAATAACTGCAACTCACCAGCACCTACCAGTGATCCAGAAAGCTGGTTGTGGCTAAGATTTAAGTACTTAATACTCTCAGAAATACCTGGCAGTAATTTCTGCGAACTAGAACTCAATAGCATATTCCAACTAAGATCAACATAACTGGTATTTGATAGAAGAAAAAACTCCCCATCTAGTTGTCCATCGAGCATATTCCCATGAAGGTCAAGCACCTTAAGACCTGAAATTAGCTCAAATCCTTTTGGGATTCTCTTCATAAACCTATTAGATGACAGGTTTAGATGGACCAGATCATTCAGCTTTGTCAAGGATGCTGGCATCTGCCCAGTCAATGAGTTGCGGCTCAGGTCTAAAGACTGGATTGACACAAGCCCTGAAATTATATCTGGAATTGAGCCTGAGAAGTTGTTCCCAGCCAATGAGAGATTTCTCAGATTCCCCAATTTACCAATTCCAGGTGGTAATGATGAGGAAAACAAATTATTTGACAAATCCAGAAACTCAAGACTTTTGAAGTCTTCAATATTGTTAGGAATCATGCCTGAAATGGAGTTGTTTGACATAGAAAGTTTGAGAAGCATTGTGAGGTTGGCGAAAACACTCAAGTCCACATCGGCAGAGAGTCCTAAGTTATCAAGGACAACACCAGCAACATTCCCACCATTACAGACAATCCCATTCCAAGAAGAAGGGCACCCATTAAAGTCTATGGACTCCTCATTCCATGAATTAAGGACATAACCCGTAGGGTCATGTTTGACACCCTTCTTGAATTCAAGCAATGCCAAAATGTCCTGCGAAGGAAGCTGGGCCATGGCAGAAATGAAAAATATGGATAATGCTAAGCACCTAAAGAGCTTCATGCCGATCCTATCAATCCAAAGAGAGCAATAAGTGGCTATCTAGCAGGTAAAGCTGAAACCAGATAACAGCTGCGTTGCAGAGAAGCAACACAATAAAAAATATATAAAAATAAAAATAAAAATAAAAAAAAGTCGAAGCCTTTTGAAAGAGACGAGCAAAATGCAGTCAAATAATGAAGGCTTTCGCTCAAAAGAACCCAAAAAAAAAATAATAATGGAGGCTTTCAAGCTCTTAATCGACAAATCAACAAGATTACTACCATTTCTTAGTAAAACAAGACCAACCCAACAAGCCCTTATTTTAGTAAGACAAACATTCCCCTTTAACAGAGTTGAAACTAAGAACAGCCACAAGTTCAACCCAGAACTCAAAATGTGCCAATCAACACGCCACTTTACCTGATAATGGACTAAAATATGAGAAAGCAGAAGTTGAAATCACTGTTTCTACTTCTACCCAGAACCAGCCACCGAACCAGTAAGGAAGAAGGTGCTTCAACAATGAGCCAACTGCAAAAACCAAGCCAACAATAAATGAGTAGAAATTAACAATGCCAAAGTGGGCCCCATTCAGAGAGATCTAACATTCTACCCATAAAACACTAGAATTAAAAAGTGCAGCATTTTCTTACCAGTGTCCCTTCTTCCATGAAGAATCATCAATGTAGGCTCAGAACAAGCTCCCTCCTCAAAAAGCTCTAGACTTTAAAGTAACAAGAACCCCTCCTTGCAAATGTAAGAGCTGGGAACTGATTATAGCTTACTTAAACAAAAGTGAGCACTCAGACAGGAAAAAAATGACCGTGAAAGAGAGAGCTAAAAGGCAATCAATAAAAGGGACAGATGAATTTTTGCCATGAAAGGCCAAAACCCTAACTTGTTTAATGACAATGACAACAAAACCGCAAAAAAGAAACAGCCTTTGTCCCTTTAACCTTATCTTTCTAACAAGACACGTGAAACAGCCCAATGCAAAACCCTAAACAGTCTGCATCTTTTTAGTTTAGCTAAAAAATACATCCTCAAGAACCTTAAAAAGCTTTATTCACCCATTAAAAAAAAAAAATAAAGACCTTAAATTTTTGTTTTCAGTCTTTTAAGGGGTTGATTGTCCGAAAGTGACAAAAAAGATAGCGGGAAAATGTGAGGGTTTTTTTTGGGACTAATTAGGGATTTACCCGCCAAGGGTGAAGGGATTCTCTTTTACATGGTGGACGTCAAAGGATTTATCAATTCCAGTTTAAGGTCTTTTTGAC